AGGGACAGAGATGGGCAGTTGACCCGGTCACGTGTCCGTGGGGCACCAGATGAGGCACAGAATGGCATTCTGATATGCAGAATGGCATTCCAAGGCACCACAAATATGAAAGATGCCTGACTGAGGAAACCAGACAAGATGGGGGAAGGCATTTCTAATGACACATTGCTGCTATCAGTGACTATTCATCTTCAAATTGTGTGTGGAGGGGTACAACTTAGAGATTGCCTTGGGTGCTTTTACTCTTACTATGCCTCTTTTGGAGGGTACTGGTTACCTGACCCATCCCCACCCTGACTCCCAGCCTGGACCTTCTGGCCAAGTCTCTCCCTTCAGACTGAGGCAGCTTTTACTTACCCTTTAACCATCACGAAGCCCTTTCTCAAGGACTGGACCAAGTGGAAACAGGAAAGCTTATCTTTACAGAAAAAGAGAGAGAAACTGAGGGAGGGAGGAACAATGAAGAAAGAAAGAAAAAGGAAAAAAAATCTGCAAAAGACACTTAAAGAAAAAGAAACTGTCATATTGAAAAATAAAGTTTGCTTTCAAATTCATTTTAATTAAAATACATAGTTTTATGTTTTATAGACATATATATATAACAAATACAGAATTTTCACAGAAACCTGTACCAACACTGAAGAACCACTGTACCTTTTCTCTGTTAGTCTAAAATATGTTGTTTTGCTTAGATTTGTTAATGGTGAAATTATTTCACAGTGATTGCAAGAGTTAATCAAGTCCTCATACAAATAAGAAACTATCACTCAGTGCCTAAATTCTGACCAGATTTAGGTCACAACCACATGCTTTCCACAAAAGTTATGATAGGAAGTCAGATACAGTATATTTCAACCCAACATTCATAAAACATTTGGTTCTAGTCTCTCAGAGTGGCATCTGCTAACTTGCCATGGATGAAGATATAGTTTCATAATTTCAAAAAGTCTGAATGACCAAAACCAAGAGCTTCATACTGTGGCAGGATAGCCATGATCTGAGATGATAAAATGGAAACAGAATGACATTGCAAGAGTCTATTTTTGATAGGAACCCTTTCTCTGCTTTTCTGGACTGAAAATGAGATGTCTTGTAGGGTCTGCTTAAAATGAAAGTTCATAAATACTTGCCTCAGATCCACTTCTTTTTTTTTTTTTTTTTTCAAAATAGACATTCACACTAATTTAAAATGCATGCTTAAAGGCTTAAGAGTAACAGGTGAAAATAACCTGTAATTGTTACAAGGTGCTTTTCTCTTAGATACCAGTCTTGGATGCAATCCAGTTGCGGTAGGAGGTCACACGCATATAGACTCCTGGCTTGTTGATTTTACCACAATCAGTACCCCAGCTTACTATTCCAACAAGGTACCAAATATTCCGGGAATTGGGATATACTAGTGGTCCTCCAGAGTCACCCTGAATAAAACAAAGAATATTTATTATCATGAGAATTTACTTTCCTAAATGATAAGCCAAATAAAATTTGTGATTCTTGGTTCCTAAAGACTATAAAGCTCTGGTAGCATAGTGGCTAAGACACTTGCCTGCTAACCAGACGACTGGCGGTTCAAACCCACCAGCCACTCCTCGGAAGGAAGGTTGGGCAATCCCACTTCCGTAGTGATACTGCCTCGGAAACCCAAGGAGGGGTCGCTATGAGTCGGGGCCAACTCGACGGCACATAACAACAGCAACAACAAAGACTATTAAAAAAAAAAAAAAAGAAAGAAAAACTCACTGCTGTCAAGTCATATCTGACTCATAGCAACCCCTCCTTGGGTTTCTGACGCAGTATCACTACGGAAGTAGATTGCCCAATCTTCCTCCCAAGGAGTGGCTGCTGGGTTTGAACTGCCAGCCTTCTGGTTAGCAGCCAAATGCCTTAAGCACTACACCACCAGAGCTCCCATGATAATAATAGTGCATACATTATAAAGTCATGAAGAGAATTAAATTAATTAATATTTTTAAAGAGCTTAGGACAATGCTTGCTTCATAGTAAGCACAATATAAATGTTAAAAATATAAACATATGTTGAGTGTAGAGAATAATTATTTTGGTGACAAAGCTGATAGGGACTTTGATAGGATTATCAAAATAGAAGCTAACTGAAGCTTTGAACTGTCCCCACATTGATGATTTTCATAAAATAATATTAATTATTTAAATATCATGTGATGACCCTGAGTAATGCCCAGACTTACCTGGCAGGCATCAACATTTCCCTCCATGTATCCAGCACATATCATTGTGTCCTGAACTAAACCATAATATGCTTCTTTAGCATTACAAGTGTTTGTATCAATAATCTTCACAGGTGCTTTTTGAAGTAACACTGGGTATTCACCTAAAGAATTAAACATGATCAGCAAAAGATTTCCTCTGAAGCTGAACAGGATGTCAACTGTGATTTGTTCAATGTGACCAAGACCTACATTTGACTCTTGCCTATTCTTAAGATAAAAAAAGGTCATTTGAAGGAGCTTTAAACCAATGATAAAAGAAATATGAAACATAATTTGATACATCTTTCTTATCCTATGACTTTATCTCCCTTTTTACATCTTTGGACTGGAAATTTCTCAATGAGGTTCTCTAGGGTAGTGAAGTTCTAAGACCAAATTTGTCCCCTTGCAATGTTCTAAAACAAAAAACAAACAAGCAAAAACAAATCACAGTAACCCTATAAGAAAGAGTAGAACTGCTCCAGAGGTTCCAAAAGCTATAAACCTTAACAGAAGCAGACTGCTACATCTTTCTTCCATAGAGCTAGCTGCTACGTTCAAACTACATGCTTTTTGGTTAGCAGCCATGTGCTCAACCACTATGCCACCAGGACTTCTTTGGAATATTCTAGCAAGGTAATTTGCAAACTCATAACACCATATTACAATTTCCTGAGAGATGGCCTTGTAGCACCCCACTCTGAACATCTGGGGATGAATGATGCCTGTAACTCTGCCCCTGCATCATTAACTTTTCTTGTTGCTTTTGTACCTTACATGGATATGTTAGGTTTTCACTAGACTTACCATTATAAAACAGTGCTCCCCATCCTGTAACAACAACACCTTCACCTGGTAGAAAAATCTGTGAGGCTTCAGGCAGACAAACCCGATGTACGTCGTTATTAAATAAAACTTTTTCAGTGAGCAGTATAACTGCAACGTCATCATGATGTTCACCCGGAATGTAGTTTTCATGAATAATTATTTTTTGAACATAGTGTTGCATGTAGGGAGGGCTTACTCTAGTCCCAAAGCTGACTGTATAGTTTTTTGGATTTTTGGTCCTTAAAGAAACAAAAAATCATATCCTTTGTCTTTATTTCAAAATAATAGAAACATATTCTGCACTTTTTTCATGACATTAATGTTTATTTGCTCTCTAAACCATTAGAAATTATAAAATCTAATATTTAAATTCATCTTTTAAAAGTCTTGTTTGAGACTCGACACCATATACTACATGACACAATAAACCAAAACCAATGTCATTGAGTTGACTATGACTCATAGCAACCCTACAAGTCAGAGTAGAACTATCCCATAGGTTTCCAAGGCTGTAATCTTTGGATAAGCATATTATCTCTTCTTTCACCCATGGAGCACCTGCTGGGTTCTAATGGCTGACCTTCTGGTTAGCAGCCAAATGTTTTAACCATTGTGCCACCAGGGCTCCTCATAGGAAACAGTGGGGATACAGAAAGGGAAAACAGTAGCCCATGCCTTCAAGGAGTTTAATATCTGAGTGCAAAATGGAAATAAAAGTGGACATTTATTATATTTGCTTCTTCTTCTTCTTGTTATGTGCCGTTGAGTTGGACCTGGCTCATAGTGACCCCTCCTTGGGTTTCCAAGGCAGTATCACTATGGAAGTAGATTGCCCAATCTTCCTTCCGAGGAGTGGCTGGTGAGTTTGAACCACCAACCTTCTGGTTAGCAGTCAAGTGCATTAGGCACTACATTACCAGAGCTCCTTTAAATTGTCTTAAACGGTTGTATATATAAAGACTAGTTGGATTACAAGCCAGGAGGATTTAAACCTGTATGTTTAAGGGAACAGAAGATTTCACAGGGAGATCTGTTCATGATCATATTTGCTTTAGAGATGAGCAGAGGGGAGGGACATTCTAAGCAGATAAGACAACTGTGTGGGAAGTAGGAAGTATGAAACAAGAGAATGTATTCTAACAACTAAGAGTAGTTTGAAATATCTGGAGTACTATGAAATTTAAGAGTAGAGTGATGACAGATAAGAATCATGTGTAAATTGTAACTGCCTCAAGACCTATGGTCCTTAGACAAGATGGTGATCTTACTTTTTAAAGCAGTGAGCTGCAGTCACTAGGTATCTGTCACTGATCAAAGATGCCCCACAGTAATGTCTGCCATTCATTTTGAGACTTGCTTGCCATGGCCATTCTCCTTCCTGAGCAGTGGAGCCTCCCTTGACTCTGTCATATGTTGCAGACATCCTTGCTCGTCTCCCACAGCCTGTGGAAAAGGTCAGGATTATTCCAATGAGAATAGGAAGGTAATGTCTATTTGATTACAAAGCAGAGAGTGAGATAAGACATCCTTTCATGATCCTATCTGACGATGTCTTACACTGATAAGAACATAATGTAATCTGTACAGGAATCATTAGCAGTCTCTGGGTCACTTCTATCCAATATAGTACCTTCAAGATACCTTGGCATGGCGGGTCCTTAACCTTTAGGAAGCAAATAAAGTAATGCCACACTCCCTGAGATTGAATTCTAGCCCCACATTTACAATCTGGATGGACCTAGGCAAATTATTTCACTTCTCTATGTTTAGTTTCTCTAAAAGGTGATAAAATTGTTTTGAGGAGTAAATGAGTTATTATATGTAAAGCACTATCCACTTGCCTGGCCAAGAGTAATAAATATTGGGGATTTTTGTTTAGAAAATTGTGTTTAGATCATTGTATACACTTAATTAGAAAATATATGAACTTACGGTTGTTGATAATCTTTTCAGCATTGACCTTACTGATTTCTGAAATAGAGCAACAAAGGTCATGATAAATGTAATACCCAGCATGAGTCCACTGGCCCCAGCATTAATAGAGTAAGAGAACAGGTGCAGTAGAGCAGGAGAGTTCCAGACAGAGCTTAGAATCCCAGGAGAAAGAACCAACAGAAAGGAAAGAACATTGCTTTCCTGGGATTATTCTTTTACTACCTAAGAATACATGAGATGGAAATACCATTTTGATAGTTGAATATGAGAGACTTCTACTTTATTTTATTGAAATTGCATTCTATGTCATTTAAAGTGGAAAACTGTCAGTATCATTCCTTACAAGAGCAGCAAGACCCCACAAGCAAACCTAATTCCTATCATATACAAAAATAACTTTAAAAATGGGGGCTGACTTATAATGGAAAACCTAATATTGCTTTAGAAAGTTATAGGAGATTAGAAAAAGAATAGCAAAACACATCATTATTTATAAAAACTGTTTACAGTCTTAACATCTCTTCAGAATGAGAGTTGTTTTTTTCTCCAAGAATCAGTTTTAAGATATGATATTATGTGATTTGAATGTGCTTGTTAAAAAATGAAGAACA